ATACAACCCTATTAATTCTTATGTAGGAGTTTTATTAAATGATATCATGATGAGGATTAATATTTTAGGGAACAATGACAGGACTGAACATGGCTGTGAAAGAGAAGTTTTAAGCTGTTTTTTAAATTCATTTTGTTCAAAACTTCTAAAATTTCTATAATTTACTGTATGTTTATTTTATTGTTTAATTTATGGCTGCTTAAAATCACCTTGATGCTGTTGTGATGGATTAGGCTCCTAAAAGTTTGATTTATACTTCCTGTTTGTTTGTTTTTTTCTAGGTGATACCGTTCCACGTATGTGCACTTAAAACTTATTCCATGTCTGTTTTAATTAAAGCAGAACCTTCCACAGCTCCTGCAGGGGTGTGTTTGGCTTTATGCCTCTGGAACAGCAGCAGAAGCAGTAGCGGCGGCGTTCACACTGGCAGAGATAGAGCAGCACAAATTCCCTGCCTTTCTTCAGATAAGACCCGGAAAAGCAGATTATTCGACCTGTTTATCCCCCCCACCCCTCCACCCTTCTTTCCAGTGTGGGTGGACGGTGAGAGGATATTTTTAGGTTTGCATGGCGCTGTTATCTGACGTTGCCTTTTCAGCACCTCAGAGGAGAGGGTGGCCAGAGGAGCTACATGACCTTGCTGCTRCCCTCCACCCCGCCTCCAATCTCTGCAACTGCCTGTCGTTCACGTACTGTATATTTATTTACACCCTTTCCCCGTGTTGATCTCTAAGCACACACAAAAATGTTTATGCGGTTGCCTTTGAGGAGTCTCTCCTGCGTGCAGACTTTTGTGTGTTTGTGTGTGAGTGGCGTTTACAACGAGACGATGGAGCGGCGGAGTATCTGAAGAGAGCTGAGAGAAGCATAAGCATCTCCTTCTCATGTGAAGTGGAGGCCGTCGGGCCGATGCCGGTTCTTTAGCCTGTCCCGTACGCCGGCGCACTTAGACCAGGCCTGGTGCTCTCCGTGTCGAGCAAATTAGACTATTCTCACGTTTAGCACCCATCTTGTCCATCGAGTGTGGTGGTTTGTAACTCAGCAAGTGGGCTGGAGGCCGGGTTGGATGGGGGGGGGGGGTACACCAGGACCGCTGACAGAAATCGCTGCACCGTAAGAAATAATGTTCTGACTGGAGATTTTTAAGTCGTGTGTGCAAACATTTCYCTCGGCTCTAAATCAGATTTCCTTTCCTGTATTTTAACTGTGCTGATTGAACAATTCTTGCTGTGGGCCTGCCTCAGTGTTTTTATTTAACAGGATATATTATTGAGAACAGCACAGTCACAACTCACTAAAGTTTATCCTCGTCTCTTAAATTCATATTAGGAAAAATATCCACGAAACCATTAAGAACCTGCATCCTAACACATCAATGGGTCCTTTTTTATTCATTAATTTTTTTACACATTGAAATAATAAAAAAAACTAAAATCAACTAATAGAGAAAACATTGCACAGGAACAGAATATATTATGAGGAATATGATGGGTAAGGATGTTAAAAGGATAAGACAAAAAAATCAGGTCATGTTAATWTCACAAAAAGGGCGAAATAATAAAAAAAAATTAATCATACCTTTACATTTAATGCATTATAACCTGTTATACTTGATTTCAGAGACAAAAATAAAAACATTTCTTCCAATCCTTCCATACGTAAATTCATTGAAAAGTAATCCTCTCGTTTCACAGGTTTCATCGTTCAAATCCATTCCTCTTGTTGGAGAGTTTTTTGCCATCTCATTATTATTTTTTACCAGCTGGCAGCTGCTAACATTATATTTGTCAAGTATTTGTGCTCCAAGTTCACTTTACATATACCGTTATAGCAGGGGTGGGCAATCCTGGTCCTCGAGGGCCGTAGCCCTGCAGGCTTTACGTTTTTCCTGGCTCCAACACACCTGATTCAGACGTTGATTTACCTTCTAAGTTCTGCAGTATGGAGGACCGACACTGACATAATTATAAATAAAAGCAGAAATATATAAATGAACCACTAAATAAACCAATTCAATTAAAAAAGAACTTCACCTCATGTTTTGTAATTCTCATTTAATTGATATTTTAATTCAAATTTGACTGTTTTTTTAAAACATATTTTTCAGTTTTCCCTTTTACTTGTACTTACATTGGTCTCTTAAATGTTTAAATTGAAATATTTTTACAGTTTTGTCCTACAAGGCTTTTGTATTTCTATGTGTTGCAGGCGTGTGCTGCCTCAGTTTAGCTTAAAGTTTA